TGGTCATTTTGAACTTTGGCGCTGCACCCATACACCATTGTATGATATGCTTTGATAATTACTGAAGCATCGGAGTATTTTCTTCGGCGGATCTTTAATGTAAAGTAGAATGAAGGTCGAAATGAGGAGAGAGCCTTAGAGAACACCTGCGTTGATCTCATGGGCCTCAGAGCACACGCCATTAACAAAGTGTTGTGGTAGGATCCACCTGATTTGCATAGTGGAGTACCGACCATATAAATATGGTTGGTACCGGGAAGACGAGGGGTGGAATCAAGAGATTCAATCCAGAGACTCTGTCCGACTGCGATGAAGTCAACACATTCTCCAGGAACGGTCTTCCCAAGAATATACAAAAGACTATATGTAAATATTGTGTACACTTTCTTGTTTCAATACATTTTGTTCTAAGTACATTTTGTGTTGTATTATTATTCCATGCATTAGTCAAGTTTCAACACAAAGCCTTTCATGGATCGAGCTGTTAGGAGGGATTTGATAATTAAGAAAACATTTCAGGTGATTATTTATTTACAGAGCCCCATTCTAAACGACACTTTGTCAAAGGCTTTTGATTTATTGATCCTCTACTTGTATTGACTGTTTAATTTCTTACTGATTTGATGCGTAATGACAGGATATAAACAGTAGACCTAACAGACCGAAATCCGTATTATTTATCGCTGAGAAGGTTGTCCCTGTTGAGCTGGTCAACAACATTTTTGTTGGTGATACCCTCAAAAAAGTTTCCAGATGATATGAAAGCGAATGGGTCGATATTGTAACAGAGATAAGAGATTACTTTCATTCTTGAAAACTGCGTATATACTTGGCAACTTCCATAGAATTGGTAAGGATTCCTTCTCATACAGCGGTTAAACAGTTTTGCCTAGATTAGAGATAACTCCGATCTAATTTTTTTCAAGAACAAGCACCGAGATTTTATCCGATGTGGTAGCCTTCTTAGAGTCAAAATTTCTGATAAGTCTGGAAATTCCCGATGTCTTCATAGATATATTTCAATGTTTGTGCTTCAGGAGAGCCGAGGAAACCTGGAGAGGGTGCTACTTGTTGCCAAACGTGAAGAGAATCAAGTTCACTGAGAAGTGCTTAGACTTACCAGACGAGGATGGTATAACCTCAGGGCCATTTTGCCTTCATTAAGAATTTTTTTAGAAGTCTTCCAGAACTCACGGGTTACAAATGAGTTTGAATCCTTAACTGGGTATATTTCAGCACTAATGTTTTATTTATGCAAGGTTGGTTGAACAGGGTGTTTTTTTTTTCTACAAGTCGGACCTTTTTATCTGGTTTCAAGGAAGAAACTGAAAAAATAAGTGTTTTAAAAGTGGATTCCATTGTTGATGTCTACTTTGTAAATGGCGTCAATTAATAAAAACAAACAAACGATGTTTTAGGGTCGGCGGACACCAAGTGGCTACAGTAATTCCCATTTAACAAGCCATTGAGGACACATGGCACACTGTATGAAGGCGTTAGATAGATCCAGTGACAGGACTCAAAGATTATGAGTCCAATACTTGGTTAAGGCAGTGGAGATGTTGGAGAGGGGAATTAACAGGAGATAACTGACATCCATTAGACATGGCACGGGGAACTAGAACAGTCTACCTCAGTGAGTGAAATAAAGGGTTCGGTTCGACATTCTAAATACCTGAAGTAGTGAATTGTAGTTTTTGATTATTAATTATTGAAGTTGTCGTTGATAATATTTCATATATATACACACACACACACACACATATATATATATATATATATATATATATATATATATATATATATATATATATATATATATATATATATATATATATATATATATATATATATATATATATATATATATATATATATATATATATATTAAGAAATGGACAGGTCCGACAATTTATTTATTAAAAGACATTTTTTATGTTTAACGTTGTTATTTTATAGATACAAGTATTTAAGCAAATGCTCTGTTTATGATAAACAGTATTAAATAACATTTACCGGCCTGAACCAATCGGTAGAAATTTTCATAGAAAATATTCGTTCTTTGACGGATTCGAACCTGCATCCTATACGGAACCGTCATATACGCTGACGTGCCTTTACCTCTGGGCTACAAAGAACCAATCAGTAGACAAGGTCAATTTATATCAGCGTATATGACGGTTCCGTATAGGATGCAGATTCGAATCCTTAAAGAACGAATATTTTCTCTGTAAATTTCTCGGACAACGTTAAATGTTATTTAATACTGTTTATATAAACAAACATTTTAAATACTTTATCTGTAAAATAACATATATATATATATATATATATATATATATATATATATATATATATATATATATATATATATATATATGGTGGATAGCGGCTTGGATTTGGGGAAATCAGAGCCGAGTTCAATTCAGTCGAATCCATTGCATTCACTTACGTGCTAATACCTTTGGGAAAGGTATGTATCCTCTTCGTCTCCTCCAGCTATGGGTAAAATAGCAGGACAGACTGGGTTCTATAGCCTTGGATGGCAACTGGTCTAGGAGAAGGACAACTCTGAATTCAAAACCTGCGGAGGGTCGTTTGGGAACCTTGTGGCATGCATTCGGTGCACCAGGTTTTTGTATTCGTCCCTCCAAAAAGTGTGTCTGGTCCTGCACGAGGCCTTCACCACTATAAACAAATCTCATGTGCCGATGTCGGTTTCCTGGGGACTTATCGGCCTGACCCTCATACGTCGAACGCGACGGGAGAGTCGATTATTATATATATATATATATATGATAAAACCTGAGTCAGGTACTACTTACATACGTTTCACCACATGGAATCATCAGGGTAAAGTGGCTAAATTTTTATCGCTGCGGTTTTTTTTTCTTTGTACCAGAAATTTAATGTACTGGACGATTTCTTAGGCCCAGTTCGGAGGTTCTGGCTTTTTGTAAATGTTCTTCTTTCTCGGATGCCAATGTGTTTAAAAATTGGGCTACCCAGGTTTTTCACCGACCATGTTTAAACACATTTACGTCATATATATATATATATATATATATATATATATATATATATATATATATATATATATATATACGTCTGTGTGTGTGTGTGTCAAAAGTATACGTCAGATATGGAAAAATTATTCAATGTTATATCTTACGGTGACTTGAATAATATCATTATCCCTCCTCTTGCATTAACCTTAATTTGAAAGGCAGAAAATGCCACAAATTTACACAATAGTTCTTTGAAAACTACACATGCGCCGGATATTTTTTGCCAACTCTTTGGTGTATTCGAAATAGATAGGATAATTATGCTTAATAGGGTTCAGTTAAGTACGCAGTGAACTTGGGAGATATCTCCAGTGCACAAGGTCGTAGAAAGATAGCGAGGCGTGGTCGTGCATCGCACGCATATGCTCAAAATCCCGAATGACGATGAGGAGAGCAATAGATGGAAGCGAAGATAAATTAGGGTGTGAAACGTGATGTGTACTTACGAGAGCGTTTAGAAATATCTAGATATAGAGAAGTACTTACATAGATATGTTTTCTGCAATTTACCTTCATCAAGCGTTGGTTGGATGCTACACAAATCGGCCTAATGTGAACTGCTGTAAATACAGGCCCAAGACAAAAAATGCCTTGCCACCGCAAAATGTTATACTGATGTTGGCATATGATTAATTCTGTTAATTTACTTAAACTTCGTCTGTATTTCGTCGACAAGTTTAGCAGGCAAAACAAAACTGATCTCTTTTAATTCGTCTCGGATAACCTTTATTTCATTACCACGGCTGATGCTAACCTCCATGAAAGTAATTAAACGTGTTTTCTCTGGCTAATATTTCCCACTGGCATGAAGATTATATTGAAACAAATCCTAGTTCTGCTGCTACGAAAAATAGTTCATTGTGTCATGCTAGACAAATTTTTTTCGCTACAATCTAACACGTTTATATATCCACTATTTGTGCCTGTATTGGCTAATGCTGTTACATCTGCTCTGGTGCTTCTATGAATATTTAGAGGTTCTTAATTCAATCTAAAGAAAATGCAATGTTATTGGTTCTTACCTGGCATCTTGGTTTCCGCCAATGTTCCATCGCCGTATCGTAACATTTTTGTGCCTCTTTTAAAATTTATATTAATTGCTCTAATGAGCTTTCCCCTTTATTACCTAGTGTGAATTTAAGCGCAGTACAATGAAAGTAATCTCTTATCTCTGTTACAAGATTGGCAGCTAGGACACATTATTTATTACATTGAGAATATTTATGCATAACCGTAGGTTATATGCTAACAGTTTCTTCTCACTTGTGGAAATCCTTTCCGGCTTCATGCTTCCCAGTCAAGTTTAGGTTGCAAACTTTAACTGAAATGCCAATCGCTATCTAATGTCCTCCTGATTACTATTTTCTCTTTCCACTCAGTAAAAATGTTTTTATTTCTAATTCTTTTCATAACGCTTTGTTTTTTGGCAGTAAAGCCACTAAAACACAATACCAATATATATATATATATATATATATATATATATATATATATATATATATATATATATATATATATTTGTTAATGCGAAATTTATTCCCAAAGCAATAAATATTATAAGTTCCTACTTTAAATAATCTGCAAATTACAGATAATCCGTAAAAATAACAGATCAATCAATTCTGTAGGAAGTGGGTATTTAGAGGTGAATTTGATCGTTCCACGACCAATTGGTGTTGGATTGACACTTGTTTTTTGTCATCTTCTCTGTTAGAGAGTACAGCGTGGCCTTCACTTAAGCCATAAAGTTATGGATGAAACGAATTGTTACTTTTCTAAGCGCATTTGTACGAAAGCGGTCTTCACTGGAATTTGAACATAATTCCTCCTTTCAGCGCCAATAAGCACTATTCTGCCTGTCAGTATTCCCATATCCTTCATGCGGAGGAATTCATTACCCTAAGCGCTAGCGAACTGCGTGTTTGTAGGACCTTACAGCACGTGGCATTCCCAAGAGGTCACCCATCTAGGTACTGACCAGGCTCAACGTTGCTTAACATCGTTGATTGGATTAGAATCATTGTTTCAAGTTGATATTGCCTTGTATAAAAATATATTCAGAAGTCTGGAATTTTAGTTCCCATCATTAGTAGTTATCAAACGTAACTCATATCATGGTTCGATAATGTAGTTCCATTTTCACTGTGTTCTATATTGATATATATTTCTAAAAGAATAAGCTCGACTTCTTCTGTATATATATATATATATATATATATATATATATATGTGTGTGTGTGTGTACAGGCGGTGACATGTAAACAGAATGATTGCTAGAATGGCTTTGAGCAGTGAAAGCTCCCTTGTTAAATGCGAATTGACAGGTACATTGTAAAATGTCTAGATAGAAAACGAGATGGAATTAAACATAAAAAGATTGAAGTAATTTAGAAGAGAACCGAATTGGACGGTTGAGGATTGGACCAAAGTTTTCTGGTCTGATGAATGCAAATTTGTAGTTCTTTTATTAGTTGATACTAATTTATTGAGCATAATTGATTTAATTACGCTTATTAATGCTTCATTTTTACTGAATAGAAAATTATCCCTAAAATTCAGATTTTTGTCAGATTTTTGGAAACCCTGGAGTTGTTTATACTCGTCGAAGAGTTAGGGGATATATATATATATATATATATATATATATATATATATATATATATATTCCATATTAGTCTACGTATTCGCTTTCTTGAAAGCTACTGACATGATAGTTAATTGAAAATTGCTCTTCATGAAAAACATTTGCACATATTTAAGCCGGCCTCTCAGTCAGTAATTAAACTACATCCTGCTGAGTACTCTTGATTGGGCCTTTGACTTGTTCAAAAGTTTGGAAGTTTGAGAGTCCCTAATTATTTGTATACTCTCAGCATTAGAAGCTGTCTTGTCTGTTCTTTGCTTTTGGGTTTTCATTTGCACGTGACTTTCTTTTCCTCACTGCACCCTTGACTCTTTTGATTGCAATCTGGTCCTCCTTTGGTCGAGATTTCTTTTTGAAGACATACCTGCTGTCATAAGCGATAGGCAACTATAAACTACAGAAGAACTCAAAATTGATAGCTGCAGTTGAGTATTTTATTACTATTTAATCTTATTTTTAATTCTTCTGTCACCACTTAATTTAAAGACAATTTTCCATACAAAATTTTTTTTTTTTATTTCATGGGTGACTTTTGCCGGTTTTCGCTATTAATTTACATTATTCTCAAATTTATTTCCAAGTTATAAATATTGATATGGCACGATAAAATTCGTCGCAAAAACTCAAGTAAAAAATTCGCCGAAAACATTCGCAGTAAGGAAAAGATGGGAATCCAAAATTTGAGTGTCCAGACACAGCCTGGAATGATTTTAATTTGCTCACGGCGTCGGCCTAATTCCAAAATGGTATAATATTTTGGGCTACGACCTCTGAGAGTAAAGTTGACAAAGTGTGACTCAGTGACATACTGACAATCGCCTTTATTTATATAGATAAAGCATACATATATTAATGTATGGTATATTTATTTTTCTCTAAATATATAACAAAAGAACCAGATGGGGTGTGGCAGCAATATTCCACGCAAGAACGAAAGGTAGAGTTATAAATATGCCAGATAGATTCTGTCAAATAACGGTCTAATACAACGAAATGAACCAATTTTTCCTAGCTGCAGACTCTTGTTTCAATATACTTCATGTCAGCGGAAAATTTTAGTCCGAGAAGGTTCAATGAGTCAATCTCCTGCAAGTTGTCATCAGCCATGTTGATTCAAGGTAAAAAGGGGTATCCCTGACGATTAAAAGAAGCAGTTACGTCTTGGAGGCGTTAAAATTAACAAGCCTCTCTTTGCCTCATTTACAATGAAACATAACCATGTTTCCTTTTTTTTTTGCACCATTATCCTCATATAATTTTATAGTTTAGTCTTTGTTTTTGTTTTTATTGCCATTTTCTTTTCTTTCCTTTTCGGCACTGATATTCTGAGATACGATATGCGTAGGCTAGAGAATAATGCCGAAATGATAATTATCTGGAATGTAATTCTAAACCCAACATTACTGATCAGACAATGACAATTCGAATTGAGTGAGGGTGTTGGAAGCCTATGGTTGTGGAATCCTGTGAGTGATAGCTTGCTCTAGACTTTCTTGTCTAAATAGCGAAAAGCTCATAATCATGGGCCGTATTGTTACGTCAGTACAAACTTCTTGTGTTTTTATAAATTATTATTGATTGCGTCTGCTTTGTGGGTTGTTTTGGTGATAGTTGGAATTGGTATAACAATATATCATCTGACATGTCACCTTTAGAATGAGAAACGATTTATCTATAAATCCAACCGAGTCCAGAGAAACCTTGTTGTCATTGACCAACCAGAGATGTATAAAAGTACAATAACAAGTTACAAATATTCGTCAAGTTTAGAAGTAATACCATTATTACATGAATTTTCTATATTATTATCCTTATGTTTTTGTTTTGGTACCTTGATTTTTTTTTTTTCAGTTACAATCTTCTTTCTCTTACGGCCTGGGATGAAATAAGCTTTAGTGAATTTGTAGCTTAGACAAGAATGGCACACGATAATTGTAGCGAATGCAATTCCAGAACCTAGCTTACTCACCGAATCTTTTATGACCCAAACTAATTGGGGTGGTTTGAGCCCCGTGAGCGCTCAATCTAAGCAATGGTTGTCTAAGTTTTGTCTCAGAATGTAAAACGCGCGAATATGAGGGTTACGATTGCGACAGTAGAGGAAGCACGAGCCTTTATGCTCGTATTATCCATCTTCGTCCAGATTTAATTGTATCGCTGTTGTTTATGTTGAGAGACAAATTATACATATGGGGTGGATATGTGGTTTTCCGACCTGATGATATTCGTTCTCTCTATCTCCTTCTCTCACTGACCTACTTCAAGAACTGAAAACAGTTACGATCAGCCAAAGAAACCTAAAGAAAATTGTTTATTGTTGATTCAGTCTGTTGACGCAGCATTGGGATCCTTACTGAGGAATTGCCGATAGATCGCTAGAATCAAGAGACGACACGAAACGGAAATTAGGGACTTTGATTAACTATTTCAAGTAGAATATAGTATTAAAACATTACATCCAAATCATTAGCCATTATGCATGTGAAATTTTTTAAGTTTCGTTTCACGAATGCAGATGATGTTCTTGGGAAATATTGTTTCTGGTGTTGCTGAATAATTAATGAAACTAGACAAAGTTAAAAAAAATCACAATTTACTATCTATAGATAGATAGATAGATAGATAGATAGATAGATAAATTATCTAGATAGATAGATAGATAGATAGATAGATAGATAGATAGATAGATAGAGCCTGAGATAGTTAGAAGTACCAATGGTGACACCTTTTTTCTAAGACAGAACACGAAGAACTTCTGATCCTGTCCAGAACTGTCGATCAGGCCGTCACTAATCCTGCTCATATTTCAAGGAGACAATACTAGTCAGATTTGACTAAATCATAAGTACTAGAAAAATAAAAATCAATAAATAACAAAGTGAATCAATACTGAATACAAACAATGACTAAATTCACAAAATATGCAGTTAATTTTGAAATAATAATAATCAGGATATACGCATTAATTCGAAAGGCCGATCAAATGGAAAACTTGCGACGATAACAAACAAATTCATAAGCACAAACCCGAAAATTTCCTAAAGAAAAGCAAAGCTTTATTATTTGAAACTTTAAAATGCATTTTTTTGTTCAAGGTAAGAGAATAATACAGTGTATTCATATCAAATGAGACGAACTCACAATGGATATCACCATTCCATCAGGCCTGATTGTGAAATCGAAAGTGAATTTCTACACATATACGTAGACTTTAACAAAAGCCTTACTGTAAAACTTGAGGGTAAAAAATATTTGTCATTATTGTAGATTCTTGTAAATTCAGAATTACAACATTTAAATGGCGTTACTAAAGTCTTTAAGAATAGTATGGAGACTGCTTAGTATAGGATATTACTGATGCTTGATCTACAATAAAATACTTTAGTGGCAAAACTTGAGAAGTAGTCATTATGATAGAAAATAAAATCTCTAGTCAAATTTATGATTATTACTAATAATAACTGAGAAAACCATATAAAAGTAGTTTATTCGAAACATGTACTGTTATAAATACTACTACTACTAGTAGAAGTAGTAGTAGCAGTAGTAGTAGTAATAATAATAATAATAATAATAATAATAATAATAATAAACGGTGCCTCCTTATTGATATGGCAGTACCTGCCGACTGCTATGTATCTTTGAAGATATTCAAAAAGTTGTCAAAGTACAAGGACCTTGAAATAGAAATCGCGAAAATGTGGCATATGGGAACATCAACAATCCCTGTTGTAGTTGGAGCCCTAGGACTGGTTGGAAAAGTTTCCAGTAGACTAATTGAAGGGATTCCTGGATGTCCATGCCTCAAGGAGATACAGAAAATTGTTCTGACAAGTACAGCCCACACCTTACGAAGGGCTTTATCTATGTAATCTTTTTTTTTTTTTTTTTTGTCAGTGGAAAGTGTCATGACGCCATTTAACCTTAGGTCCCTGGGCGGGACCCGGAAAGAAAATGTGTAAACAGAAATCAAAAAATAATAATAATAATAATAATAATAATAATAATAATAATAATAATAATAATAATAATATGGCATGTTAGTGCACCGAAATTACAAACGAGGACATGACTATATGGAACATATTTCAAAATGGCTGTTATGCATTAAATACAAAGGTGAAAGACGAGTGTTATGCTATATAAAAGAACTTGCAGTGGAGCATGAGAGTGCAAAGATGCTCTTAAACATCACCGGACAATGTGATAATTCAAATGAAGCAAAAAGGCCAGGCATTATTTTTTTGTCTAGAAGGAAAGAGAACAGAGTTGGATCAACGATGTAAGGTTAGCAGGGGACGTAGTTGCAGTTGCATAAGAAAAGGAATAAGGGAGAAGTCATCAAAATGTGAAATGTGTGGAAGAAGGCTTATTGAGTCAGAGAAAGACAGCT